CACAAAAAATGCGCGGCAGATCCTCGATTTTGATTGGCCAAAAAAATTAAGCTGGAATTACTCATAATTTTACTAATGAAATCGCAACCGCCTATTAAGTGAAAATTGTTCCTGTGTCAATTTTACCACAATGCGTGCTTATTTTTTTAAAATTTCTATTTTTGTAATGAAAAAATTAAAAAATTAACTCCGGCCGGAATTTAGTAAACAATTTTGTAATGCGGACCAAAATATCGAAGATCTTCGGCCGTTAGCCAATCAAAATCGAGGACCTGCCGCACATTTTTTGTGCGGCACCTAGGGTAAATATTGAGATTACAGGAACATGCCCAAATAAATCATAATAGGCAAGGATTAGAACTAGATCGTCGAAAAAGATCGAAGTGGGGTTAACAATGCGCATGCATGCGCATTTATGTGCGGGTTTCCGAAAAATGCAATTCCAACCGTCAAAATCCAATTATGAGATCCCGAGATCGTTAAGGATTTGTGTCACTTCGAGTGTTTTAGGATTGATTAAACTTATCCTATAGCACCAGAAGTGACACAAGCCCTTAACGATCTCGGGACCCCATGATAAAATTTTAACGATTTTAGGCTCTTTAGAATCGTCTTTTTGAGGCGATCATTTTGATGGTAAAATCATTCAAAAGCGACCACTGAATCAAAATTTATTTATGGTTAAAGATTTTTAAATCTTTAAAAATTAATTCCAAATATCCGCGGGTATGAATCAGTTTAACAAAAATGGAAAGTCCTCATTTGTAAGAACGAATTTAAAATTGGAAATTTTTATGCAATATAATATAATACAGTTAGAATCATGAATAAGACAACGTACGTACGTACATACATATAAAAAAGCTTCATATCGTTTACAAATATAGAAATCCCAATCATGAGGAAATGATCATCTAGTCAGATTATTTCCATTCCTGGTATAATTGGTCATAGACTAATAACGTTGCTCAAAGAATTTTACCGGTAAACAGCTTAAATTTTTTTTTAATTGTTTAATTATTTAACCGTACTAACCGGTTAATTCAGCTCAGCATTAAAATAATTTTGGCTCGACTATGGATCAATTTTTATGTGATTAACGGTTCCAATTTTTAGTGGCAAGAATGAACATACTGTACGTACGTACAAGACTTGGAATTTCTGTGACAAAACTTTATGAACCGTAATCACAAACATTTTGTGCATAACCAAATACCTAAAAGTTTTACCAACTAGAAATTACAATTTAAGAACATTATTACCGTATAGTTGCGAAATAACGCACAGGGGTGTAATTTCGAATTTCGGCCTAAATTAAGCTTAATTCGGGCCGAGATTCGAAATAACGCCCATGTGCGTTATTTCGCGACTATACGGTATAAAGTATCGCATAAGAAAAGCAATTCAATTTTCTAAATTTAATTGCGTCATGTGACGTCACAGACAATATTGTCTATAATTATAATTACAAATCAGAATTTAACGTATTTGTATCATCATACTCGTAGCAATTCGTAAGTTAAATATTAATAAATCAAAGCAAATAAATGAGACAAATCGCAATTTTTTATTCTTTTCAATTGACCAACAATTTGAAATTTCTCAAACGAAAGTAACGAAAGTGAAAAATTCAATTATATTCTTTAAACCAGAACCTTTTAATTATTCTTTATAAATTAGCGGATGTTTAACTTTATTAGGCTACCATTCTCTTATGATAAAACATTGAATTTTATGTTCCTACATAGTGATAATTCTAAAAATTGACAAATAATAAAAATTAATAATCCTTGTCTGTTTAGTAAATACAAAACCAGGTACTTTATGTCGGAAAATTTTGTATCCATCAAAATGTTAAACCCGACAAATTTTTCCGATGAGTCAGTGCACTTTTTAATAATACTTGTTTTGGATATTCCGTCATTGATCAACAAATGGGGGCCCCAGTAGCAAAAGGTGATGATCGACCAAACTAACAAATTTTTTTTTTTTTGGGCCGATTACTACCTTTTACTGTGAGGCCTCAAATAAGTAAATTTACACAAATATAAAATACATACCGATACGTATAAGTGCTGTAGTTACGGACGGACTCTATTACTTTTTATATTAAAAACCTGCAATGATGTAACATTTTATGCTACTGTATTAAGTCATAGCACATTAATTTGGTTAATTAATTTATCCATTAGAGTAATTATTTTTGAACCCGGACCAATTTCATAATTTACATGACGTCATTGGTCTGTTTTCAAAAATTACCTATTATTAGTTTTTTTAATATTAATATTTAAAGATTTCGGATAAATTGAAATTTTCTCAATGGTGGATCTGCGATCAATTACGTACAGTACGTGCGTATGTAATAAGTGACTAATCATTATCTAATATCGAAAATTTGCTTTAAAAAACGCAAGACCTTTATTGTTATTGATCTGGTATATATGTCGTGCCTCAATTAATGCTTGCCTCGATGTCGATCGGCCTAAGAGTTAGGGTAAGTTTAGGGTTTAATTTAGGCCAATCAATGTCGATCAGTTAATGCTGGCCAAAAAAATCGACATCGAGGCGCAATATATATAAATTTAATTTTGCAATTTTTATCTGATTAGTTAATTTAGATATTTTTTATTTTTTCCTTTTCGAACTGCTTATACATAAGTAACAATAATAATTTTTTAGTTCTAGATTATATAATTTATATAATTTAGCATATAGTGTTTATAATTTAATCTTGATAAATTAATACAAATCTAAAATTAATTGTAAGCACTATTTATCGGACCCAATAGGAGTCGAAAAGAAAAAAATCCGGTAGTAAAATTGAAATCCGGATCTATAGCTCATGATTTTGTTTAACAAAAAATATTGGTTCATTATAATATAAATTCATTATAATATAAATTCATTCTGTGTTTAGTCCTAAACTTTAAGCCAATATGCTACTAAGTTTGTTAGTATTTTTGTATTTCTCTTGATCTTGCTATGTATTACAATCTAGCCAACAAAAGATAAAATTTTATCTAAGTCTACTCATCTAATTTTTCTATTGAACACTTGGCTTTATAGGTACTTTACTAGTAAACTGAGATTTCATGGTCTGATAATCATTTTTGTTTTGATGATATTTGAATTGTCCCATTGAGAAGATTCGAATGGTACGTACTACAATCAATCGAAATATGTTTACTAAATGTTTATTAATACTGTCTACGCATAAATAATTTTTCAGATCGGACAAATATTTATAGTATTACTAATCATTATTTTGATCTAATAAACACTAGATAAAGTGATAAAAATTTTAAATTACATGTTCTATAAGGGGAAAGTTATTCCTTATGATATCTCTTAAATTCAGTCTAAACGCGATTCTACCTTTCTAAGTTATAGTTGATTTACGGCAGATAGTATGACGGAATTATTATTATTATTATTCGTCAAGGCGTTTATAGACCGCCGATGTTGCCTATATTATATAGGCTGGTTGACTACATATATTATTAAATATACATATCAAATTTTTTTTTAAAAAAAAAAAATTCACCAATATCCTCATACATTCTTTAAATTTACGAATTAAAAACTTCAAGTTCATTAAAAATTAGTTTACAAAAAGAAATTTAGTTATCATTATTTAAAAGCTTTTTTATTGTTTAAATAACTTTTAGTTACTTTCATTTTCGTGAGAAAAATTTTATTAGTCCTTTATAAAGAAATTACAGCCTCAATTCTATATATCAATTAGCTTGACTCTATCATATGTATATTAAAATTAATTTTAGTATAATAGATTTTTATAAAATTGCATTAAAAAATTTAAAATTGTTTCGAAATGATTGAAAATGGCAAATAAATTTTTTATTGGCGTATACTCATACACTCGATTACCTGATTGAAGATCGATGTCCGATTTTTATGTAATTACATAAAATCGGACTGCGCTAAGGTAATCGAGTGTATGAGCATACGCCATTTTTAATCATTTCGAAAACAGCGACAATCTAAATATTAACTCTGAATCACCTTATTTGAGATAATTTAACCATTAAACTTACGCCAAAAGCAAAATAAATTCAGACTACTCACATGTATAGTAAGTATTATCGAATGTTTATAGCAAATTATTATAGGCAGATTTGTTTGTCCGGAATATAGTAAAACTATTTTCTAAGAAATTTATGTTTTACTATTACATAAAATATTACATATAATATGAGTGAAGCCGGCCGGGAAAATGGGACATTGGTTTATCATTTATTATTTATTAATAATCAATTACGTATAAACCAATGTCACATTTTCCCTTAGCGCCACTCATATAATGTAACCTTGTACATTCATTTAAATATCTAATTCTATACATAGTTTAATGGTCAATTTACAGTGCGTATGTACGTTCATACATACGTATGTAAGCACGTATTAACGTTGATCAGCTAAATACAAGAATAATTAGGATCAGCTGCTATGCTTTAAATGCTGAAATGATTGGTTTTAAATATCTGGTCTCACAAAAAACTAGTGTGAATCAATTAGAAAGAGTGATTTCCTTGCAAATATCCAAAATAATAAAATGAAACTTGCTCATCTAAAATATCCCGCTTTTGTGTGGTCCCCTATTGGTCGTAGGTACACCACATGTTCAATTAGATGTTTCTAGGGTTGTCGCTCAATTCCTCAAATGCTATTCCTCGACAGGCTATCTACCCGGCATCACATAGGGTTAGACCTAGCATTTGAATAGTTGCAGGTATATATTTTTGGTAGATTGTCACCCTGTGTGATGTAGATTAGCAGTAACCCCAGTATGAATTACAGGAGAGCGAAAACGTAAAGACAAATTAGTAAATGATTATTTATTTTTTAATTAATATAAATTATAATAGATAAATTTTCCGTATTTATATTACATGATTTTTTTTTTTTCCTAATAATTTTTTCAATATTGTAAATCATTTCTCGTGGTCGATTTCTTTCTACTTTCTTTCAATTTCATCATGAGCCTTACTTCAGATACTACAAATCTCAGAGAACTTTCTGGATTTTATATTATTATGCCATCTGGTATACTTGCTAGTATTCCGAATGGTATCTGCTTAATTTACCTTTTGACGAGAACGCTGAAGCGATGGTGGGTAACTAAGAGACCCTTACCGATGGCTCATAGGGTGCCATTTTATATAGCATTTTCCGGTATGTCCTTCATTTTTTATATATAAATATATTAATTATACTCAATATTTAGTTATTTAATTTTTTTTTTCACTACCAAATTTATATAATTAGAGTTCAATTTATTTTATATGAATTCTATTAACATGGTATGTATTCAATTAATTATAAAAATCTTATAAATTAATAAATTATTAACTTTCTTCTTTAAATAAGGTATATTCGGCAGTTAATGGTCATACTATTCAAGGAACAGCGTGTAAATGGGCTGGTGGATTAACCTTCTTCTTTGTCTCAGTTAATACGTCTTTAGTTGGATTATTATCTTTGACGACCTACCTTCGAATATGTAGAAAATACGTTATTAATTTTGGAATATACGATTATAAATTGCATTCGCTTATTATTTTAATAGCCTTAACATTAACCTTGATTGGTGTTA